TTTGAGCTGTTTTCTATTCACTCTCAGCACTTCTTTGACAAAACTTACATGACTTGTTTCTCCTGCAGGGCTCCTAGAGAGATGCTGCGATGCACTGGCTTGGCCAAAGCAGGTCCATCTCCACTCCCAAGGGGATCAGGCACCAGCAGCCCATTCAGGTCCCCGTTATACGAATTCGACGGTCTCTGGTTCTCATTCACTGAACCTGAGGAAAAGCACGACCAGCTGTGCTCAACATGCATTAAAAAGAAATGGCACTGTGTGAAATATACCAACTCCAGATGATTTTTGTCAGCCTCTATTGGTCTGTCAGGTAGAATGCGCTGAACTGGTTGGGAAAAGTGTTCTAAACCTCCCATGTGATGAGAAACTCACGTCCACACATCTCAGTGAAACAGCTCTTTTTCTTACACAAGCCATTCCAGCAGATCACAGAAACTACAAAGAACATGTTTCGAGGAACTTACCAGGCTCTAGAAGCAAATAGCCTTAGATCAGAAAGACTAAGCTGGTAATTCAGGTTTACTGAATCAAGTGCCAGACCAAAAGATTCTTGACAGGTTACTTCTAACTCTCAGGCCTGCAGAGAGATCTCTGCAGTCCAGCAGTGCAGGGATCAGCTGCAACATTTGGGGCTGGCTGGAAACAATATCTTTGTTACTTTCCAAAACAGGCTTCCGACCATGAGACCTGACCTCAAAGTCCAGGTGTTTAAGTAATTTCGCTAGGAAACTCTGCAGCTGTGCCTATGGGATTCCCATATTTTCCCTTGGTTGAACAATCACATAGAAGTTTATAGCACTCAAATTTTGTGTAAAGCAGCCGTTTGTTCAGAGCCTCAGCTGTGCTTTGAAGAACGTGTGTGCCCTGACTTTGCACATCTGGCCTAGCACAAGCTGCTTGGTGGCTTCCATGCCTTCTGAAGGCTTGAGGAAGGGACAGACCTAACGGGGAGTAAAGGAAACTCTTCTTCTTCACTAGCAAGACAAATATTTGACAACCCCCACTAGAGAGCAAGGTCTCTCCATTTGCACCCCTACATCAGCACACCCAAGGAAAATCCGCCTGCCTCAGCGAATCTTCACTTGGAATTTTGACTGGTTTTGAAACCCGAAATTTCGTATACTGTTGCCAGGTAACAACTGCTGCTGAGCTCTTGTAAAATGGCTGCTCCCAGGACCAGAAGCATCCCCGTCACTGGCACGTGTAACAAACCTAAACATAACTGTGGGCAAGAGGCAGATCCTTCCAAAGTAAGACAACCTTTCCACTACCAAATAGGCTTCAACAGATCAGGGTGAGTGCTGCTGCCTAAAACACAACTGCAACTATTCATTTGCCAGAAGAATATTTTAAACCTGCCTGTTTGTGAAGAGTCATTATGGACACAGAAATGTGCAGTGACAGGGTACCCCGATGCAGGGACAATTTGGGCACTCACATCAGTGTACCTGCACTGCATGAAGAAAAAGCAGCAGCACTCACACAGCACAAGGAAATTCAGGCCAGGGAATGTGACCCTGTAACCACCTCACATTGATGCTGTGCTTACTGTCACAACATTAAGATGTGCCTCTTATTCTTACAGCATTGGTGCTGGTACAGTTGCAGCTACTTCCACTGACAGCACTTTATCCTTTGTGACCAAAGGAAGGAAAATATTCCCTACAGAAAAAGCATCCAGTCTCCTAGAGAAAGATGATACGTGCTTTGCCCTTTTTGCAGCCACAGCAGAGTCTCATGTAGGTACTGCTGCCCTTTTACAGACAGCGGGATAGTGATGTTTGCTCCATGAGAAAAAGGAAACACTCCCCAGAGGCTGATGGGCCCAACAACAGTGCACACAAGCTCAGGAATGGGCGTAGCTCATTCTGTGTTAGTGGAAGCCAGACAAGCACAGGTCCTGCCTGTGCACAATCCTGGAGGCATGAAAGAAGGGAAGAGGCTCTGTTTAGTAAGAACATGAACTAAACCAAAAGGTTAAGCCAGACTAGTATATCCAGGCCTCAAAGGAAAAGAAGAGTGTTTGTATTCATTACCTTTCCAAAGAGCAGGAGCTCAGAGTCAGAGCTGAGACACTGAACTCTTCCTGCTCCCACCATCAGCTGCACCAGGAGATGCCAGCCTGTACTGAACAGAACACTGCCCTGATACACCATGAGCAGAGTGAGCCTGGTTATCAGCAGAAATCTCTGCATGGATTGAAGGATCCTGCCCACCACCAGCAGGGATGCTCCTCCACAGCACAGTGGCACTGACAGCCTTTCTCCATGTCCCAGCAGGCAGGTCCATGCTTTGGCAACAGCTACTGAAGCATTGGATGAAATCTGCCAAAACTGGGAGAAATTGTGTCACGAGAGACAGACTGGGTAGTGGATTACATTTTCACAATCACCAAACTAGCAGAATTTAAAGTATTAGTACTATTTTGACAGTAAACTCTTTAGAGCAGAGAGTATTTCTTGTCACTTGCCAGGACAGGATCTAGAAGAATACAACACTCACAGCTACCTGCACCTGGTACTGCAAAATTTGAAGGCTTCACTATTCCTCTTCCCTGGCATCCTAACAGGAATTTCAGAGACTTTCGGCTAACATGTGCACTCTTCTTCTTCCCCTTAGGTCAGTCTTTTCAAGTTTATTTGCTGTTACCCAGGCAGTGATTCCTGCTGAAAACCACCACAGATTCCTTCTGTGAACTTCCTGCTCACTTGCTCCTTTTCCTCTCAAATGCCTTCTTATGCAGTGGAGTCGACAGAGAAGGTAAAAAGAGAATGAACAGGAAAGAAGAATTAAAAGAAATAAACCATATTCTGTCAATAACTCCTTGACTTCAACCAGCAGGAGAAGCTGCTTCAGGAGAAAGTCAAGTCACCTTGAGCAACAGCTCCAACCATTTCTCAACCACAACATATAATTTCAATTCAGAAACTACTTGTGAAATGAGTGTTCCCCACCCCTAAGCACTGACCTCTCCTTTCAGGATAGTGCTGCACTACAAACAAAAAAAAAGTATTTTTCTTGTAAGAATTAGAATTCAGGAATGCATTAGCACTCCAGAAAACAGAGAAATTCTTCCAATTAATGAGAAATTTCTCTATGGGTAGTAGAGCTAACGAAGGCTGCCTTCCTGCAGGTTTGGTCCATCACTTCATGTGCCTCTTCAGCCTTCCACAACAATCCCACACCCAATCTCTCTTCCTTTTGGCCAAGCAAAAGGCAGCACACATGGCAGTTGCTTTGGAGGTAGCACATTCCTGCTGAGCCTCAGGACATTTAGAAGTTATATTATTCCAGTCCTGCCTTTCCCTTGAAGGGAGCACAAGAGGGGCATAAGTCTGTTCTCTACCCACAGGCTAAGATATTTTTGCAAAGCATTCATGTCTCGGCCTCCCTCAGAGTGTTACCTCACCACGTTTGACTGAAACACCACGGCAGGTTCAGCCAGGGAGATGAGAGAGAGCCTAAGCTCCAGGAGAATGGGAACACTATCCAGATGACTCCTGAGCTCGCCGCTGATACTCTCACAGGCAGAAGGGAGCCACGGGAGCCTGCTGAACTCTGAGCAGAGAAATGTAATAGCTCAAAGCACAGGGAGAAGACTGATATTGGTGATCCCATTTCACATACAAATAAGGAGTGAAAAGTTTGTGTAAAGGGTGAACCCGGTACTGATCTCAGAGCGGCCTGACAGCTCCCTTCCACTCAGCCCAGCGAGACGCCTGGGAAACACTCCAAGTACTCCTGGTAAGGGGGACACTCGTGTCACGGAGGTCGGGGCTGTTCAGCTCCCAGCAGCAACACCTCCCAGCCGAATGGAGCCCCGAGACCGCCGCAGCAGCGAGCTCTAGGGCCGACCTGCTCTCACTCTGTCCAGCGCCAACAACGCTTTCCCTCAAGCGAGGGTCCCCAGGCTGGGGGCTCCTCTCCTCACCGGCCGGTCCGACCGCGCCGCTGGCTCCGGGTTCTGCGGGGAGCGAGGCAGAGCGGAGCGGGGACCCCCCGGCCCAGCGCGGGTCGGAAGGCGCTGCCGGGCGCCCCGAAGCGAAGCGGTCCCGGCCGCGCTCCGAGCGCTGACAACCGGCGGGGCGGCGGCGCAACGGCCGAGGGGCTCCCAGGGCCCGGCCCGAGACAAGGCCCCGCCCGGCCTGGCCCGGCGGCCTCTCGCGCCCCCCCGGGCCCCGCTCCTCACCTCCCGGCCGGTCCAGCTTGAGGATGTCCCGCAGGTGCTGGGTGGCGCCCTCGATGTCGATGCTGGAGCAGGAGGCCATGGGGCCCGGCGCGCCGCCCGCCCGCGCCGCCGCCACCGCGCTGCCCGGCCCGGCCCCGCCGCCCGCGCTTCCGCCTCCGGCCCGGCCCCGCGAGCGCCGGGCGGAAACCGCCGCCCGAACGGAGCGTTCCCGGCGCGGCGGGGGCGGGGCCGGGCCCGGGCGGAGCCGGGAGTGGCGGGGCCGGGCCGGGCAGCGCGGCCCGAGGCTCCCCGGCCGCGCTCCATCCACCGCCGGCAGCGGCAGGCTGGGGACAGGCGCCCTGGGCGCAGCCCTGCACACGCCGGATCACGCCATGTGAGAGCAGGCTGCACACACAGCACAGCTTCAGGCACAAACTCCCGGAGAGCGGCATGGCACCCACCCTCGGTGTTTGCCTGCCAAGAAACAGGTGTCGTGTTCGGCTTTGAGAGGGCACGGAGACTGGCTACAACTACCATCACTGTTGTCATCCTGCTGTATTATTTGGGGAATTTGCATTGGTAAAATAGAGCAGGTGAGAACTCAGCTGTCAATCTTAATAACAGAACCAGAAGGCTCTGTTAGGAAAGCTGCTGAGAAGGAGAGGGAAAGGTGTATGGAGGAGGGCAGACCTGCCCTGCAATCACTGCTAAAACTTGTCAGGAATCGTTCAGTTCGAGGTCCAGCTCTGCAGGCATTTCCCCACCAGACAGACACAGTCTACCCCCAGCAAGCACTATCACACACTCCACAGCCAACTCATAAAAATAATTTAAACTTTTAAGAAAATCTCTGTTTTATTGTGTCATGTAGCATTGAAACATCTGAACAAATCAATAACTGGGCTGTACAGGCTGCTGTTCTTTCATTTCTTTGGGTTATAGAGCAATTTGTCAGTACATAAACAACAACCTTTTGCATTATAAATTCTTTCCGAGGCATGCTGGTACAACACAAATTTCTCTTATCAAATGCAGCTAAGTCTAACTTCCAAACATCATGCACAAGAAACTCATCTAGTGACAATGTAAACTCAGCAGAAGGGCAGGTCACAAGTCTTGCTTGCTCACGCTCTGCAGTGCTGCAGGTTTGTGTATGATATTTGGAATGTTCCGTGAGTGTGGATAATACCAGTTAAGAGGAGAGGAGAAAAACGAAAAAAAAAAAAAAAAAGAAAGAAAAAAAATAAAAGAAAAACAAAAGCCCGGGTGCCTCGGGATGGGCAGCTCAGCCGAAGTTGTGCAGTGCTAGCCTGAACATGTCATTGGTGCAAACCCAGGCATCGTTGATGTTCTTTAATAGAAATATCTGGTGGAATCCCATGATAGGATCTTCATCAGCCTGTGGGGAAACAGAGGGGGGGGAAAAGGTTCAAAACATTCATTTTTTGAGAAACTTATTCCACAACTTATGATGAGACAACTTCAAGCTAGCATTAACAGTGACATTACATGCTGTAAGATGTGTAGTACCCCAGGACACACCAATACCACCAGAGGGTCTGTTCTGAGGGGCTTTGCAGACAAACATCCTGGGCCCAGAGACATGGAAATCCTGCAATGGCATCTGAAGTTGGGGTTTTGTGGAAGACTTGCTGACATGTCACTCATCACACTGATGGAACATGCCTGCCTCAGTGTTGAATCACAAATCTCTTGCCCGGGAATCAAGCTTAAAAGAAAGTGGTTCAATTTTTAGCTGCTGAACTTTGGGTTGATGGCAGAAGGGAGTTTCTGTAGAGATTGGTATCAACACGTTGCCTGGATGATGCAGGTGATCTGGGTTTTGAAAGCCTTGCCAGAGCAGATGCAGCTGGCTGGAAACACAGTACTTCCCACTTCCACTGTCCAGCAACAGCTGGAAGGGAGCAGAACATTCCCATCAGCTGTGACAATGTGTTCTAAGCACAGGGAATGACTGCAGCAGTGCCTCCACTCCTGCCTCTGACAGCGTGTCTGGGTATTTACAATATTACTACTAAAGTAGAAAATAGTATTAGAGGGAGACTCGTACTCCCACCTAATGTTTATTTACCCATCTTCTCAGAGACATCGTGCAAGAATTATATCTTCAAAATAGCATAAATGATTCCCAAAACAGGTGGAAATCACACAACAGGATTTAATCTGGACAGCACAAAGGACCAACTACAAAACAATCTTCTGATGGTGGCTGTAGTGTGTTTAATTCAGCATTTTTGGAGGATTTTAAGCTTTATTTTATCAACACGTGACTAGTCAGCTTCAGAAAAGGGGGAAATTTATAAAAAAGAGCCAGAGCAGTTCATGAAAAAAGCTGTGAAAGCACTGAATGTTCATTGGCAATGCTCTACTGCTGTTCACTGAAAGAAAGTGGAAAGTCTGAAGAGCAAAGCAGACTACAGAATAAACAAAAAAGAAACTTTACTTTAAAAAAACTAAAAATAAACTTTACTTTGAAAAAGTAATATTCATGGACTGTGAAACAAGTCAGCTTTGAGGACCAATTTGCAAAGGACATCAGTTGTATCACAGAACAGCAAGTCTGCCAGAACACTGGTGGCATCAGGTGCATGGAAAGGAAGCATCCAGATCCAAAAACCACTGCAGGGATTTCACAGTGATGGCTGCCTAGGAAGTTAAGTGGTGTACATGAAGTGCAGTTTCAGTAAGTGTATGCTAATTCACAGGTAAACCAAAGTGGGCCCTAGGTTGGCCCCTCATGAAAGTGATACTGAAATAATGATAGATATATATTTATTTATTAAACCAGCTGAGAGCTCTAAAGCTATCAAGGCAAGCACAGGGTTAGCAGTTGTTAGGGAAGAACAAAGAACCAAAACCCAGAAGTAAGCAAATGCATAAATAGGAAGAGAACACCCACATATCAAATCCTGCATGCATTTCTTAAAAGTTAAAAAATAAAATGCTATAATAGTCATAAAAGGACAAGAAGAATGATCCAACTACAGGACAGTTTCCTACTGAAGAAAGTAAAGTGAGTACAACTCTTCAGCTTGTAAAAACATGAGAATGGGGAGAACAAAGGCAAGACAAATTACTATAAAACCATGAAGAACAAAGTGAATGAGGAAACTACTACAGCCAGAAATTAAGAAGGCAACAAGTAAGGCCAGGAATACAAGCAAGTCAGTGTTTAATACATGACTGAATGAGAGAAAAATCCTCAAAGCAAGACAAGTGCCAGCAGTCACTGTCCAGCAGACAAACAGGGCAGCTTGTCCCTCGAGACACACCTGCTTTGCATGAGGCAGAGGCTCCCTAGGAACGAGCCCAGTGGGAACACAAGCAATTCTGCTGGGTTAGACCAACTGCCCATCTAGTGCATTAGCACATATGACAGCAGTCATGGCAGTTATTTCAAAGGAAGTATTATCCCTACTACACTTGCTCACATATCTGTGCTGTAGAGGTGGCCTGTGCACTGAAGCTGTGGGTCTGTGCCTTTTCCAGTTTCTCCTGGGTGTCCAGTGTAACCCAGGAGAGCCTCGCCACCACTTGGGAGTTGGCAGGTTCTCAACTCTCAGTTGCCCTCCTTGTTGCAGATCACTGAGGCATCTATTACAAGTTGTATAAATACTTTTCACACCAAATTTGAGCTTGTCATTAGTGACATGAGAACGCTTCAAAATATACCTCTGGAAAAAGAAATACCATCACCAGACAAGCTTTAGTGTAGGTCTCCTTGATTTCTGATAAGCCTACGTAGGCTCTGATAAAAGCACTGCAGCTCTTGATGCTTTGGCTTAAGGAGAATTTCATCCTTCCTTAAGAAATTCATGGCTGAACACATGAAGAAAGACTAAAAAGGAATAATTCTCCCCAAAACAGTTGGTGTGGTACAGACAGCAAATTCCCACAATGAAGTCACACATTATTATTGCCTTTATTCCTTTCATGTTATCCCTTCATATCATAGAGGAACAGTATACTTTAAGAACAAGGAAAATCCTCGACTATATTCAAGGTGAGGTATATACTGTATAGTCTATTCCCAAATTTTGACTATTTAATATCAGCACATAGCAAAGGCTCATAGTTCAGTGACTCAAGATGCCCCAGAAAACACAGACTAATCCTATCCCATTTTAGTTTAGATCTCCATCACAGCTCAGCACCACTGAAACTCTCTATCCTTACTTTTCACTCCAAATTCAGGCATGTCCAACTCAGGATTTGCATTCCAGATGTGAGCCCAGGCTTGGAGGGGCTTTAGTCTTCCTATAAAACTTCCCTTTGTGACATCACTGAATTAAAACAAAAATTAAAGAAGTTCCAGAATCAGACTGGAAGAATCCTCTGATTTCCAGGCTAGCCTTTTTCTCAGCATAAGCACAGGCTACAGCAGCTCTGCATCACAGAGCCACAGAACAGGCTGGGTTGGTCCACAGAAGGGACCTTTAGAGATCATCTAATCCAAACCTCCTGTCCTGAGTAGGAACATCTTTCACTGCATCAGCCACAGCTTTGTCTATTAGTCTTAAAATTCTCACAGAACAGATATTTCACAAGGTGTCCAGGCACCACTTCCCAGGGTTTCAATCTTCCCATGTAAATCTTCCCTTGTGTCCCACCTGTACCTTCCAAGTTATGGTTTCTAGCCACTGTCCCTTGTTACACTGTCTGGCACCACTGAGAAGAGTTTGCTTTCAGGTTGTTGGAAGTACTCAGTTACTTTTCACTGACATTTCAATCAGATTGCCCTTAGCCACCTTCTCTCCCAGTTCCACAGGCTCTTCATCGCCCACAGTCTTGGCAGCTTTTTGACCTTTCAGCTTTTCTACATCCTTTCTCACCTGGAGGCTCAAAAGGAAGCCTCAGCACACAGAGCAGTGAGTCATGTCAGAGTTTGAGATGCAACACTGCTTTGCATTTCAGGTTTAGCTACACAGCTTTCCTCCTCTTGCCTGGTCAGAGAGGGTTTTACTTCTTCACCAGCACCCCCAGCAATTATTGATTGAACTGCAGGGTTGCAACAAACCTCAAAGGAAAGGCTAATTACTTGAGACTGCAGGTTCTTTCACATGTTAAGCCTTATTTAACAGGCTTTAAGCAATGCTTTAAGTGTTCAGCATGCATTACAAAAATATCCAGTGATTTTAATTGCAAATTTCCTTTTCCTTTTAAGACTAGGAAACACCGCATAACAATTAGTTATTCACAATTAATTCTGCATCAGTCACTTCAAAAATCACACTCTGGAGAGAGACACAGATCTGCCACATGGCTCTGAGAACACACAAGCCACAGCCATGCTTCTCAGCGAGCTAAGGGACAGAAGGGCAAGAAGAGAGCACTCCTTACTCAACCAGGACAGCGAGGACTGGAAGACAGGTAAGGCAGAGGGTTAAACGTTGTGGAGGGCTAGCCTGAAGACTTCATTGGTGCATACCCAGGCACCTTGAAAATTTTTCAACAAAAAGGTTTGGTGGAAGCCTAGAACTTGGTCATCATCTGCCTGAGCATGACAGGAGAAATACATTAGTAGGTGAAGCACACTGAGGATACTGGGTGACATTCTGGATGAACATTGGCAAAGCAGGGTCACACAAAAAGAATTCACTCCTAAAGCCTTAAACTGATGCTTACTCTTCCTAGTTGAAGCAAGCAAGCAGCACTCAGACAATGAACAGCAATAAAAACAAATATGCTTAGAATAAGGGGATGTATATTTATTATACCTCTACAAAAGGATAACCCCACCCAAATATTAATACTTATCAGCATCCATTAAAGAGGACCTTTGAAAGCAATTACTGCACTGCTTTAACCATCAAGTTAGGTCCCTGCTAGTGACATTCACCTACTTAGATGCTCTGTTACTCTGCAGCATCTTCTCAAGGAAGCTGTTGTGCCCAGGCCCCTCAGTTTAGATGATTATTCTGCTGCAAAACCTTGGGGTTTTTTTTTAATTTACTTATAATTCATACTGGTATATTAACATGCTACTGGTGGTCTTGGAAGTGCCCTTCCTTGTGCAAAATTCTCTTACAGCTCTCCTCAAGAACAACATATGCAGGCTAGGCAGCCACACCACTAAGAAGGCAGCTTTAAATAACAGTGAGTATGCAGCTCCACATTTGCCTGTTGCAGTGTTCCCTGCTCAAGTGGAGCTACATGTGAGCCACTTGTTAAAATGCACCACCTGCACCCAGTTGTTCTCAGTTCCGGTACTGTACACAGAGCAGCACTGAGACGCAGTAAAATGGCTGTCAACGTGTGAATTGGCATGAGAAAAAGCATTCTCTACATGTGACAGCCAGGTTCATTCATGCCACAGACTGTTCCTGATATTTCACTTGTCCACCTCTATGAATATCACACAGGGCAGAAGAGTGATGTTAAAGTTGTAAGTTGACTTTCTGGCCACTTGTTCTGTGAGAAGCATCATTCTTAGGGATTAAAATGTGATTTTTAAAACTAAGGTTTGAGACACATACATGTGAAGAGTGAAAAAACATTTCCTCTCCTACTAAAAATTCACAAGCAAGTTGGATTTGACCATGACAGTAGGCATACTTTAACCCAACATGTTCTCTCCAAATACATGGATGCTCAAACACATGTTCCACAAATTATACTGAGTAATTTCTAGCTGAAATTACTCAGAGGTTAAAAAAATACATCAGAAAATGCTACTCTAAGTCATGGTATTTATGGAAAGCTCCCAGACTGCACTTACAATCCCTCCATATTAATGAATTATGGTTTGAGAAAACCCAATAGCTTTGCAGAATCATTTAGAATTTGGTATCTTGCCACAGGATCCAAGACAATCACTGTTGCAAGCTGCAATCTGCTTGATAATTATGCAATAACCTTAAAAAACTGCAAAACCAGGTGCAGATGTGACTGGCCTAAAACATTGAGTCAAAAGGTTTTGATCACATCACAGAATTTTGTGCACACCCAAGAGCAAGGCTGAGGAGATCAGCATGTCTGTCCTGTACTTCAGTGCTTTCTGTGGTCACATGTGGCTGCTTTTGCAGAGTGTGTGCAGCTGGGACTGAGCAACAAAAAAGCTGGAATCCAACTTGCAGCTAGGAAGCAGGAGCAACTTTAATGAGAGCCAAAGCTGCCTATGTTAGGTTTAGCAGTGGATGCATTACACTGGGTACTGCTCTTCTCAGCTGCCCAGCCCAAAACAAAGAGAACAGCTTAGCAAGCAGGCTCCAACATTCAGTCCTGTGTCTGCTTAGTAAAGAGTACAGAGTCAGTGGAAGTTTGAATGCTTTGATACTAGAGGTGCCATTGAGTTAGCAGGAAAAGGAAATCTAAAGAGCTGTTTTAAAACAAACTGGGTGCAGGTAACTCTAAAGACTGGATGGCATTACAAGCCTGACTTCACAGCATGGCTGGACCAAACAAACTCTGCTAACTTTATAACTACTGCTACATAATTTCACATTTTTTAAACTAACACCACCCACTGTGAGCAAGTTCTGCCTGCAGCTGACTTTACATACAGAGTATTTTTTGCAAATTCCAGGATAATGTCTTTCATTCATAAGCAGCTTCATTAATCTATAAGTATGTGGCCCTGGTATATTGGCAGACTGGGTAAGTTTACACAGTTCACTAGTATCACTCACACAGTAATATGATACTAATAAAATAATCTGATTCTTCACAAGAAGCGGCCGTTTCAACAAGTGTTTGATCTCAGAGGCAACATCCCCATTGCTGAATCAGTTTTGATTACAAAGGTACTGGACTGTACTAACATCAGGATTGCATTCTTGTGTCCTGTGACAGTAAAGAAAAAGTGTGGACTCACTGAAGGGTGATCAGTTAACAAAATGAAGTCTGCTAAATCAGAGTTCAATGCAAACATTACATCAAGGATGATGTTAAACTAGACGTGTTTAAATTGTCCAAGAACACTGTGACAATGCTTTTAAATGCAACAGAGGACACCAAAGCCTTACTGCATCAGTGTAAGGAAAATACTGATGCCTCTAGAACCCTCATGATATTTGTCTGCACAGTAAAATCCACATGACTCAAATTACAGGTGGTTTACCTAGCACTAGTTATCTGAAGGAAGGAGCATTTCTTGACAGTCTTGAACAGCAGAGGAACAATATCCCAATGCAAGCTTACCCCTGTTCCTTCCCCACCCATGAGAGCATTTAAATATATTCAGAAATCAGATGATTTAGAATCCTGCAAAAGGATTCTAAAGACATAAGCACTCATTAACCTGTAATGGAAAGAGTTTACCTTAAGCTGTCCCACTACCATACTGAGTATACAGCTATCAGGTGTAGGTTGGTGGTCTTGTGCTGTGATGCTGTGTTGTATTTTTTGGAAAGGGAGGCTCTGCAATGAAAAGAAATCAAAGTAAGGAAATGTACAGTAATTGAATTATTTAACTTACAAAAAAAGATTGAGCAAATCCAACATTATGAAGTGTTAGACTATTGTGGCAGCACTGCACAGAGAACTGTTGCAAATGAGGGCACTACTCATGCGGGGTAAATTTTAACAGGTGTGTTTTTCAAGCACCAAAAGAGGAAATGTCACCATATATAATAAATTGTACCTTTTCCTACTCTAACTGCACTGCCTGAAGGGCTTCAGATCATCTGTAGGCTCAAAGTTCTTACGATGAAGGAACAAACCTCTGCTCTGAACTGTGTTAAAAGATTCCATCATCTAATACTTGAGGTTCACCAGACAACTTTGAATTTGCTTCTTTGTTAAAGTGGCTATGAATGGAAAGGAAAAGTGGAAGAAATCTTCAAGACTTGAAATCCACATTTCCACCCTTCCCCTTTTTAATTCCCTTGATACTAAGCCAATGTCAGTATGCCTGGAGGTACATGTGTAAGGAACACACCTGGAGAAACACCAAGGACTGGAGAGTAATTCCTGTCTTTAAACTTAGACCACATTCACATTCCAACATGGACAATTTCAAGCAGTGAATGTGAAATATCTGTAAAAATGCAATTTTGGGACTGTTCTCCCAAAAGTTGCATTGCTGCTAGGTGCTTTAGTGGCAGTTCAGCATGGCTGGAGCTCTGGGTGACCATGTGGCAGATACTCAAAGTCCAGGAACTGCACAGGATGGCAGCACGTGGCTATTCAAACCTCAGGTGGCACCTGGATGCCTTTGCTGCATTTCCCTGGTTTGGAAACAGATTGAAATAGATCCAAATGCATACTTCAACAAGTTCTGCACTTCCCTCTAGTGGAAGGAGCCTCAAAGACTTCCTAGAAGGCCTAGGTAGAGACACGAGTCCTGCAGTAACGGATATGAAGTACAATCTTGGCTCTACAAGCCTGATGCTCAAGGAAGAATTCCAGGAAGCTAAATCCTTAGATAATAGAGAACACAGAAACTGTGGAAGGATCAGGACCTGAGGAAGCAAATGAAGTGTAGTGAGCAGCCCTCTAATTAGAAGGACATTATTCAAGAACACAGCCTGCAGTGTTTCCTCTTGGCTGGGAGTGCAATCCCAACCAAGTCGGAAGTGCAAAGTGAACTGACTGCTTTGTAGTATGGAATAGACATTTAGTAACAACACAAATCCAGAGCCTTCTTTTCTGAATGACCAGCAGGCTGTTTTCCAGGGTCACCATCCAGAACTTGAATGTGCAAAATGCCCACACAGCCTGCACAAGCATAGGCTGGGCAGTTCCTTTGACAAAAGGATACTCCAAAGCCTAGTCCTGTCTCAGCACAAGAGCTTCTTGTTGAACAAGCCCTGCAAAAAGATTCTCTTGAAAAGGCAGAGGGATGAAGGGGAATTAATGCAATTGTGTCCAGGGAGGAGGAAAGGCTTGGAATCAAGAGCTCTGCAAAACGGTGACAAGGAACCAAAGGCAAGGCTGGGTAAGACGGCTGTTTCAAGTACCTGATTCCACAGGACAAGAGGAAATGGCCTCAAGCTGCATCAGAGGAGGTTCAGGTTGGACATCAGGAAGAATTTCTTGACTGAAAAGGTTAAGCATTGGAATGGACTGCCCAGGGAAGTGGTGGAGTCAGTACCCATGGAAGTGTTCAAGAAACAAGTGGACATGGCACTTAGTGCTATGGTTTAGTTAACAAGGTGGTGTTCAGTCAAAGGTAGGACTCTATCTTGGATATCTTTTCCAACCTTAAAGATTTTATAATAGTCCTCTTCAGAGGAAAGGACCCCAAATAGCTGCCCAGCCTAGTGAGCTACTCATGTGATGCATTGGGAGAAATCCCACTGGAAAGAGTAGGAGTGTAGGTGACAGAAAAGATTAGATTTTTAGGATAGGCAGAAGCTACCTCAAAAGGATAGCTGCTTACAGACAACCATCTGTACTGGTGTAAAGGATTTTGTCGTATGAAAAGTACAATAAAAGTGTCCAAAAAGCATGGAGCCACATAACAAGCAAGGTTTTTACCATCCTCTGACATTAGAAATGATCTTTCACTATGAAATGGTCTTTCACCATGAAAACTATGGAATCTCCTTGAAGTCAGGTAAGAGAAATTAGGCAAGAATAAAGTTGAGTAGCATAAACTCACTGCTGGAAACAAGAATACATGTCTCAGCTTCCTTCTTGGTCCAGTATACTCACAGAACTACTTAATTTTTATCTCAAATGTTCAGTGTAAATCAGGCTGCCCCTAATTAGCACAGGCACTCTATGTGAAACAAGTCCAGCACCAATTAGGACAGAAGGAACAAGTGTCAACTCCCACGCTGTAACAAGGTACAGATGTGCCAGGCCTGCAGAGCAATGCCCATACAACCTTTCCCTACTATATTAGCAGACTGAAAAGGTGCCATACTATTGCTGTCACACAGCAAAGAAATTGATCTAAAAGAAAATGCCACCTCTTTGTGCTTACATCAGTTCACCAGCCAGGCACTGAAGGATGCAAGACCACGGAAGTGTGAAAGAATTTCAGTGTCAAACTTTCAGGGATGTGCTGAACTGACTAAGCAGCTCCAGAAGCAGAATAGGTGAGCACATGAAGCTGACACAGCAACGGGAGCCCAGGCAGCTCAGTGCTGACAGAGGAATGCTGAACAACATTAGAGTCACTGTAAGCTGATACAGCCCATAATGAGCCACGGCGGTGGAAGGGCACAGAGAAACTTCAGTGCATTTCCTCCTTACTTTAAGCAGATGGATACAAGCCAGAAAAAAATCCCCTAAAGCAGAGTAGTGTGTCTTCACTCACCAATTATGACTGCAGCAGGCACATAAATCCAGAAAGTCCACCTTGCACCAGAGACAGGGAAGGTAAAGATGAGCTATGTCAAAGTGGGAAAGGGGCTGGATCTGCACTGGGCTGAATCCAAGGCAGCAATCAGACACTGTGGCCAAGCAAATGCTTGGCTGGTTGGGTATCTAAGTGGCTGCAAGCCCAAAAGTCTAAAGAACACTGAGTACACAAACAAGCAACCCTGAAGCTTGGGAATCTCCCCACCTACAAGCAAGCAGTCGCTGCTGTTTCTGAGATGTGCAGCCTTCTCAAAGGAACACAGGTACCTGAAGTACAGACCTGAGGGCAAACCTCAGTCTTTACAGTTAAAGATGCCTTCAGTGAAAGAAACAATTCTAAAACACAGGAGCAGTAGTGGTGCAATAAGCCAAGTGCCAAATTACAATTATTTTTCTTCTCAAGGTGTAATAAAAATGTCTGAAATACCATACTCAAAGCAGACTGTCTGGTGACCTAAAAAGCATGTCCTCTGCATATCTTGCAAGAGAAACAAACTTTCTAGTCTCATGACAGCTTGCAAGTATCCCCAGTTTTATAACAGAAGCATGGATTTGCTCAAAAAGATAAAAATTCTTTTAGTTTAACTAAACGACCATGGAATTCCATTGTCCTCTCACTTGCTGAAGAGGAAATACATGTTTCAAAGTCCTGAACCATACCTGCTCATATCTGAACTGCTGACAAATCTGCATTGAGGATAAGTCAGCTTCTCCACTATAGAACTTATTTGCAGTTTACGTATCAGAAAACAAGTTGTTCCTTGCTGTAATGTGTCTAGCCTTTATCACAGACAGATCCAAGTAACAGGTTTGCTATTGCTTCTTCCTTGGCATGCCCTTAAAAGAGCAAAGGCACCTTTCACTCCTCTAGATCAGAGGCAGCTTATGCATTAGACCTTTTAAAAAAAATAAATCAATAATGTCAAATACAATTGCAGTCACAAAATAACCTTCCAAACTATGGAGTCAATTAACATTCCACCATTAGAGCTGTCAGTGGAATAACCCACTACACAGCAGTAATTCATAACATTTCTTGCAGAGCTAAGCTGGAAGCACAAGTTCAAGATTTTTTAACTGCTTAAGTCTAACTCAAATTTTCAGAACCAATTATCTGCTAGTCTTCATAACTGTTTCCCAAAACATTCAGTAAGGATTACAGACTTACAGTGAGTTTTTCAACAATGGCTGCTTTGCCCTGGAACTGCTGTCCTTCCCACGTAAGGCATGATGCATCAATCTGAGGGGAAAAGAAAAATGTCATCAACTTAGGTAACCCTTGAGCAATCGTGATGAGACTTTGTTTATTTAGCATAAAATCCTCAGAATCCAGCTTTGAAAAGGGGCATAGAAAGAAACCAGCAAAATTAATTGAAGAAGTTTGCAACAATCAACTAAAAATTAAGTAGACTACATTTCATTATTGTAAGTTTACCAGCAAAAAGAGCTCCTGTCTTTGGATAAAAGTTAGATTTCAGAAGAAAATCTAAAGGATAAAAAAAAAAAATTATACAAAGTCAAGCAAGTGGAAAAATATATGAAGAAAACTGACAACATGGGTTACACCACCAGGGTAATGCTCCAACTCACCTAACTCAAGCAATTCAAAAGTGACAAGCCAGATCCCTACCTGGAATAGGTGACAAAAGTCTTAACTGACTTGGATTACACCACTAAAGATAAACTGAATCTTGTGGTGGAAGTAGTGATACAGGAATACAAACCAAATCTAAGAGCTTCCTTGCTGCATTCCTGCATGCCATAAAATTTGTTTGCTCCCCTAGGGTCTTTGAAGGGAAAAAGCTCATCATTAAAAGCCCAATTCTATAGAATCTCCCTAAATTTAGACAAATTGTGACCTTGGTACACTTCAGCCACACAAAACAAGGTAGTCCCATTCTCCACAGTTGAGGAACTCCACAAAACAGCACACACCAGTGACCTGCATAATAGTTTTCCCAATTACATGTGCACAGGACTCTACATTGAATGATGGAAAGCAGAAAGACCCTAAGGGTGAAAAAAAGCCAGGAGGTCATTGTGTGGAAGGTCCTATCTCCAGGAATTTAAATTAGTTTGTGCTTACCACCATTTTGAGGACTGAATGTATTTTGGTAATAAGATACAAACTACTAAGAGTCTCCATATTTAGAGTTGTAGTTAGAACACAAACTGCTTGGTTTCCTTTCTCTCTAGGCTCTGTAAACAGTTTCCTGGGCAAAGTAAACCAACAATCTGGGACGTAGCAAGTACACAACAATCCCAAGAACAAATGGTATCAGTGCTGCTGGATATTGCTAAGGTATAAGGAGGGGTGTCAGAGGGTGTTGAACCATTCAAATCCTCAAGAGCTTGCTGAAACTTCACAAAGCTCATCTAGCAGATGGAAAACCAGCCAGAAAAACAGGATATGTTGCTAGAAGACTTGTCAGCCTTGAATGTCTTGCTGCAACTCCTCAGCCACCAAGCAGCATTCTTCACCATCAGCAATCAACTCCAAACACAGCACTTTGCATGCTCTGGAGGAATCTTCCCTCAAAACTAAAAGCTAATGTTCCTTTGGTTTGTTAGTTACAGTTTTTTAATTCTGGCATCCAAGTCTACTTAACTCCAAATAAGAAGCAAAATTAAAAAACTAATGTTTGAGGAAATTTTAACTAAATTTACATTCATTAAACATGTTATTCTACATGTTTAAACTGGATTTAAATCTATTTTGGTGTTCAGCAGATTAATATAGCATGAGGTCCAAGAAACACCTGCAAGAACTGCTAAACACAGGGTAGAACTTAAATTACATCCCACTTCAAGAGGGATCCAAGCAAATCCAAGCCTATAAATTAATGGCAAACTAAGACTAGAATGTTTGCTTTTACAGAGCAATTCATCACAGGATTATCATCAAACCCCTCCAAAAAAAAAATCACTGCCTATAGCTAAACAGGGCTTTTGTGAGTCTGCCTGCCTGTAAGGCAAACAAAGCTCAAAGCAAAACTGAAACAGAAAACAAAAGCAATAAATAAAAGTGAGTGTGATTGCACTCACTGGCATTCTGGAGCCAGGATAAAGCCCACAATCCCACCCTGTGTATTCACACACATCAAAACAGGAAATCCCAGACACATAATGGGACAGAACCCCAGCTCTCTTTCTGTAGATACTTACATATATTGCTCCTAACTGAGTCCTGTCTGCATCAAAAAGCTGGTAGTAATGTTGTACAAAGCTGGATCCAATCTGCTCCCAGATAGGCTTGTCTCCCATTCTGAATCCTCAACCAGAGCCAGTGACTATAAATAAACAAACAAAATCATCAGAAAGATCACAGGAATAAGTCTAACACTTGGGTTTGAGTATTAACATCGAGAAACACAGATCCTCTCAACTGGCCTGAATTTTTCTTTGGGATAAGTAGGACAAACTACCTCTGTATCCTAGACTTGTAAATAAAAGTCTTGGATACTGAATGGTTTAATTTCTAATTATAGATTCGGTTTGTAGTGCTATTTCAGTGTGAGGTCACATCTCATGTACAAAAGTGGAGAACAAGAACAAAACCAAGTGTTACCACCCTGTCTTCAGATATTTCAGAAGTTACAGCACCTGAAGAAGCTGGCAAGTGCTCGCTGTTTCAGCTTGATCTCATTTACTGTAAACAACTGACCTGTTAACATGGATTGTCTGCAAGTGGCTTACACCAACTGATTCATGTATTTAGCTCCTCTGGTATTTCACCATCCACAGGCCATTCTAAGAGTGTCCTGTCAATGGCACATAACAAGAATTAATTCACTAGCTCATTGTTTAACACAAGCTTACTGCCTATCCTCTTCAATGAGGCTGAAGTAGACTTGATGTTTATCTTTGAACCAGTAATAACTTCAAGATACAAACCATGATTTTTCATAGAATCTGCAGTTCCTAGTGAAGGTGCTGAAGGCATCCCACACTTCTGAACACAAGTCCCTCTATTCCAGAGGGATTAAGCACAGAGCATGTACAGCAGTCTAGACAGGCCCAAACTGATGGCTTTATCATGACATCATATTTTTCAAGAAAGCAAATTCATTTTTATTTATCCTGATCTGTCTCTGAAAGTCTGAAGAATTGTGCTAAAATTCAAAACACAAAAATGCTGCGCTCAAACTCCCCTACATTGTATTTTAAGAGCTGAGTTCACTTCAAACAAACTATACTTGCTTAACATCTAGATCTGTCAGCCAGTAGTCCCTCTTTGCAATCCCTGCCCAGGAATCTTGGGAGTTACAGGTTTAAATTGCATTGCAAGTCTGGAAAGGTATGAAATTCTGTTTCAGGACACAGTACGTAATAGTTACTTTGGCTTCCTTTAGCTGCCAATTACTCACACACCTGTCTAAGACTTGACAAATTCCTACGAGAAACAAAACACACATTCCCAAGATCTCCACAGAGGGTACTCCCAGGCCCAGCTTTCTGTGCACAGCTGGGCAAGAAAGCTCTTTACATATTTTGGGCCTTCAGCTGTCTGAGCTTTACTCATATAAATGGGAACTGAAATGGGTTCAGACTCCAGGTTGGAAGTTTTAAGGTCACACAAATTTGGCCAGACTTACAGAAGAGCAAATCTCTTTCATCAGATCAATGGCCTAACAGCAGGTAGCATCTGTGTTTTCAGAGTGGTAAATTCGACTACCAAGGACAACAGCTTTAAACATCCTTATTTCACAATCAGACACCTAGACAGTATAGTCAACATCAAACTCACCAAGCCTGCACACTAACAAAAGTTCAGTCTTGTTGCCACACCACTATTGTTTCAACTCTCCAAAGATATCTGCAATCTGGTGTTAGTCACCATCATGAGCTCTCCACTGATACTTGAGTACATACCTCAGTCTGGAGGAGTTCACCCAGTGTGGTCACTCCTCTGGGAGAACATATTGCAAATTAAAAAAACACCCAAGTAAAACAGATACAAAGAAAACCCAAAACCAACCCCACACTCACCTTCCAAACAACTTAAACCTAGTTCTTTACAAGTAGAAAGGTTGTACTGATGGCACATCCATAATTGTTACATATCAGCCTAACCTGGAGTTGACCCAGAAATCAAATAACTTCAGCCTGTATTAGGGGATTTTATGCTGAAGGAAAAACCACCCTAAAACCACGACGCCAACTCCCTGGAAACTCTCCTGCCCACTCTGCTGAGAGGTAGGACTCAAGTCATATTTGGAGAGACCAGAAGTAGTAGAACTTAAGTTTGATGCCTGCAGTTTCCATTCCAGACCAGTGGGTACCTAGAAGTGTGTGGTTTGGGATGGTTGCAGTGGAGCCAACAATCAGCACAGGTGAAAATCACATTGATTCACTTTTTATGGATCATCATACCTTCAACTTCCAACACATGAAGTTACATCACTACCAAATATTCCTAAATACTTAAGGTCAAATCTAGTTGACAGTATTGATGGTCAGCAGTCACACATCTAACACTGAAGTCAAGGACAACAAAATAACCACCAGGTTATTCTTCTGAAGCTTAAACAAGTTAGCTACTGCCATATTAAACCTCCCCACACACAAGATGTGCATCCACCCTTAGCAGCTCCCTGTACCATCATACAAACCCAAGATCAAGCTGCATGCCAGCACTGCACCTCATTTAGTCCCTCAAGGCACAACAGCCTCACTCAAGCACCAGATGCCTTCTGTTCAATCCTGAAACTGTGAGAAAGCCTTAGAGACTGCAAGGAATGAAGGAATTTTAAATATGGAAAATAGAATTACAGTTTCTAGATCTAAAAATTAGTACGTTAGCTTGCTATCTCCTCCTAAAAAAAGTATTTGTATTTTGATCAGTAAAATACTATTAAATAAATAAAATAAAAAACAGCATAAATTTGACCAGTTATAACATTGATTCTGTTGGAAATGAGAACAAGCTAAAAAAAAAAGTTAATGATCCTTGACTAATTTTTTTTGTTTGCTACAACCTTACTCTCTTTCCTGTGCCATTCACACATGGTTTTGCTGAACACTCATTCTTCCTGGAAAGGTTTATTTTCCTTTTCTGATTTGTCACCTTTTCCTCCATGCTGTCCTGTGTTTTCTGCCTGTCATTACAGATGTAAGAAGCTTAGAGATGTACCTAAAGAAAGAACAAGATGGGAGTGATCTGTGTCATCAAGCCCAGTCCCTTTCAGTGAGACACAACCCATATAAGACTGTATTGATATACTTATCAGCACAGTATTTTTAAATATAATATAAAAGGCTTTAAGATCTGTTGCAAACCTGTGAGGAAAGCACGGGTTATGATGTTGTCAAACACTAGTGCAACACAGAGGTGCTTCAGAGCCATCCAGCCAAATCCATCCATGCTTCACTCAAATCTGTCTGTAGTTACAGAAATAAGACTATTCACTTAAAAAGAAGTTTCAATAAACTATAAAGCTCCTAAGATGTGACACTGCTGTCCTTTCAAAGGCACCTGCTGAAAGTTACTATTGTGTAAGTGCATTACTGGATATTCCACCTTAATTCCCCATGGAAAAGGAGATCATTTCCTTAAGCTAATTAATTTCCTTTCCTTTGTCACTTCAAACCAAACCTACCTCCTCACATCCACTTAAGAACATCATGGTCCATTTGATTAACAGCTTCTTCACAAAAGCACAGTAGTAAAGCTGGGCTATCAGCACATAGTGTAATACTTAATTTACATTATTCACTCTATTTCTTGCAATCTGCTCGTACTAGAGTATTTATCCTCATCCCAAATACCACCCAGTAATCAGTGCTGAAGCAGAAACCCAATACAGTGCACAAAAGCTGCAGCTACCAGCAACTCTGTCTTCAACAGGTATATGCTGACACTGCTGAACTGAATCTCCACAGGGGCCTTTTGCAGTGACATCAAAACAAAATTCTCCAATACCTTTGCCAGGCTGCACACTGACATGTCAAGAGTAAATTCCATCCCTCTACACATCTCTCACCACAATTCTATACATCTCATCCTACAAGGTACCAGGGCATCCCTGCTGACTGCTTTGCATCCATCTGCTTTAGCAGGTGAGCAGGACAAACTACAGTTAAAAAAAACAAGTGGGTGCAGCACTCAGTGCCATGGTTTAGTTGAGGCGATAGGGCATGGGCTGGACTCAATGATCTTGAAGATCTCTTCCAACCTGGTGATTGTGTGTGACCCAGCAAGCAGCAGCACCAAAGAGAAAGCTGCACCCATAAGACAGAGACCTACAAGAGAACAGAGCTTCCATATGGGCTGTAAGTGGCCGTGAGTAAAACTAGGGTCACACAGCCTCAGGCAGACTTTTTAATCCACAAAATCCAAAAATACAGAATCTTTTCTATTGCTTGTTCCAGCTTTGGTGTCTCTGTCTACCCTCACCCCTCTTCCACCCCTCCTGCCTTAGCTCTGGGTGGGAGATTAGCAAGAGCACACCAACGCTGCCCATAACTCCTAAGGGGAACTCAGTCCTTCAAAGACTCATTTCTGCCACCAGTCTCGATGAAACCTGTTCTCCTACTGCTTCCTTCATATGATTCTGTCAGTTTGCTGCAGCACAAAGTCCATCTTCCTGCTCATGTAGCATCACCAGGGCTACTAGAAGGGTAGCTTGAGGAAAAGTCACTTTTTTAACTTGGAAAAAGAAGACTAATAAAGAGATTGCCAGATTGCCTTTTCTGAAACACAAAGTGACATTTTGGAGCAGGTGAGCTACTGTCACAGCAGTATGGAGAAAGAACAAAAAGTTGCTTCAGCCAGCAGTTATGCTTTAGCACATTCTCAGACCTGGACACATGTAAGCTTGCTGCTATCAATTAAAAAAAATAAGTCATTCTGAATTGGAGCAAAGTAGGTCTGCAATTCTAAAAGAATACTACATTTTCTAAAATGTCAACAAAAGCTGGCACGAGCAATAGTAAAATATAAATTGGTAAAGAAAAACAGGAAAAATGTGCCAGGGGTTGCGAAATTTAAAAAGCGATCTGTATTCAAAGATTCAATGAACCACCACAGGCAAAGAAGGTCTGTAAAGTCCTTCTGGTCTGCAAAACATTAAAAAAAAAAACCCACTGAATTTAAAGAGGAAAAACCTCAAACCAACACATTCTAATGCTAGTGGAGAAAACTGCCTTCTATTATTCAGTCATGACTATATTTATTCCACAAGTAATCTCATCATAAATAAACCACACTTCCAGGATAGTAAAGTCAGCCCAACACACCACCAAAGTAAAACTCTTAAGTTTGAATTCAAGTTTGTTTTCTGGAAGACTTGAGAATCAGTGCAACAAAACAGCACCAACACCACCCTTAAATCTGCACTGCTGCTCCAGTGACACATGTGAACCCACAGCAAACATGATTCAGACCATCAGTTGCTGCACCCTTCACTACTGATTAACAAAAGAAAATCAGGACAATGAAAGTGCTCTCAGCTTTTTCAGTTCCTGATACTCTTGCAATTTGTATCATGCAGGTATTTTAGATCACTCAGATTAGAGAGTCAGCAATCTTTAGACTGGTAAGTAAAATAGCCAACAGGTTTAGATTACTTTTCCTTCAACTGGTTTTCTTTTGCCACTAAAACTTGTAAAGACAGGAGTGTCTCCAGTGTGCACTTTCTAGGAACACAATGGAACCAGCACCACAGGACCAGTTAATCTTCTTTCAAACAGGTCATCTATTCAACTCCACCAAGAACCACTTGATAACAGATCATCCTTCTCTAGCAAAGGATACACTCCTAACAGAGAAACTATGCAAATTATCACAGAATAAAGCAGGTTTGCAAGGGACCTCCTCCAGCTCAAAGCAGGAGGACAAACCTGTTCCCCCGCCTGACTGCCCTCATACAGAGGGCAGCTGTCCCCTGTCCTACCCGAATCCCATCTGTTCCAGTTATGCCCTGCCACGAGGCATCCTGAGAAAAGCCTGGCTCCATTCTCCTGATAATGGCCTGTCAGAGACTGGAGGCTGTGATTAAGCCCTGCTCAAGTCTTCCCTAGACTAAACAAGCCCAGGCCAGACAGAATGCACAGCAACACAGGGATGCAGAAATACTGGAACTTTCTGAGGCGCATCATGCCTCATCAGCCATTTATCTTCAACACATTGCATCTCTGTCTGGTAAATGCCAATTCAGCAGCCAATCTTTCTCCATTTGAAAATCTATACAATTTCCAGTTGAGGAACAAATTTATGCACTCGGAGACTGAAGGAAAGAAGTGCTTCTCTGACGTATTTCACAATTATCTCCACAGCAGTTGACTGATCCATAGAGCAGAACCCTCTGCGAACTACAGCTCAAGGCCAATCAGAAACCATTGACTTCAGAGACCTCCACCAAGTAATTGCCATGGACTGCTCTGTGCAAGAAATTACATTATCCTAAATATGCTCTTATAGCTAAAAATAATTAAGTCGAGATATGTGAACAGTGGAAGAATGGAAAGGGAGAAAGGGGAAGATAAGGTCCAGCCTATTTCCTTCTGGGAAATACATTTACTTTCCCCTTCTTAGTGTTTTTATTCCTCCAACTTCGTTAAAACAAATTAATGAGGGAATTATGCCAACCTGAAGTACATTTTTTTTTAGAAATGTCAGCAAGTGTAAGGCCACTGGTACACAAAGCACCTGAGAAAGACTCTGGGAAAGGTTTCACTGTGCGTGCAGCTTGATGCTCATCCCAACTGCAACCTGAAAACCCAAGAGAGCCACACGGAGTCAGTCAGGATGATTTTCAAATATATAGATATATATTACACATAACTGGATAGGAGAACATAATATTTTGTTCTTAAGCAAAAGCCACAATGCTACACAACTGCCCTTTTTTCCACAGTATTCTTCATGCCAGCCAAAAACTGAATTCAAGTTTTCAAGTCTGAAGCCACATTTCCTTTCCCCAAAATGAATGCAGGACTGCTCAGTTAAAAAAAAAAAACATAGGGGAGGCACTGGGGGACTGGAGATGAGAACTGCTACACCCTGTTTTTCTTTACCTTATAGACACAGTAACAAAACATTTAATGGCAAAACTTGCCACAATATCTATGAGTTTCAAAACAACTAAAAGAACTATACTTGCAATGTTACCAACTATCAATATATATTGCAAGGCCTAAACTTACCATACTCTACACTTTCACTAGCTAAATGATTCTCTTATTAACAGGGACAAAAGAAATCCCAGCAGAGGGAACTGCAGAAAGTTGTTACATTTGCATTTTTCTAAAGAGCTGAACAAACACAGATGTTAAGCAAATATATTTCAAATCATCTAACAAGTAACTTGCAACCTTTTAGACAAATAATAATTAGGGGCTCAGTGGGAAAATAGTTAAATAGTCCAAAATTGAGTCGAAATATCACCTCACTTAAAATGAGATCAAGCATTTCACTATATAATTTTGCTACTTCCAGGTGGAGGTCTGTGAAATGCCTTTTTTTTTTGTTTCTGCTAAAAGAAAAAGTCACTACACACAAATCAGTGCTTGAATACAACTTCTCAAGAAGACTAAAGAGTATTAACTTGAGATGGCAGCTGATTAAGGAATGAGAATTCACTTTCAAGCAACGTTTCTGCACCCAATTCCCATTCAAACCTGGGCTTTTTTTTTCCCCAGTTCAACTGCAATACAGGATGTCCAGCTCTAAGATATATTTACACTGGGAATCATGGACTTCAAATTAGCTGAATTATTATTTCAGCCTGCCTCATACAATAAGTTCAATTTGAATTATAAGAACAGACTTTTGGAGATTTAAATGTCCTCAGAAAGCGATCTCACATTAACAGAATGTAACACACACTCCTTGCTACTGCACACCTTTACAGGTTTTGATTGCTTTCAAAGCTGAAAAGTGGCAACAGAGAAGAAAAAGAATAATCTCTTCCAGATTATACTGGAAAATGGCAACTCAAAGTAGAAAACTACATGGCTGCAGCAGATCACTGAGCACAGGCAATTTGGTAGTTTCACTCCAAAGAAGCATGAACCTTTCACGTTTAATGTGACAAAGTGATTCAACCATGTCAGGTAACTTCAGTCCTTTCACAACCTTCTGGCAAGACAGAAAACAGCGAGAACATTAAAACCGAGTACCCCTTCTCCCCTGCACAAACCATCTCCTCACAGCTCACCCCCTTTACTCCCTTCCCTGCGATCCCGAGCCGTGGCACAGAAGCACCGTCGGGCACCAGGCCGAGGAGAAGCCTCGGTGCCTCTGAGGGTCGCGGCGGCAGCGCCGGGGCCGGCGCGCCCGGGGAGTGCCGGGGCTGCCGGCGGGGCGAGCGAGGCACAGCCCGCAGCTCCCCGGTATCCCCCGGCCCCGCCGCAGCGATCTCCCCCCGAGCCTGCGGGCCGAGCCCGCCCCTGCCGAGGCCCCTCGCTCCCGCCAGGAGAGCTGGGTCGGGGCCGCCCACCCCCCTCAGCCCACCCACATGCGGGGCCCGCCAGTCCCGGGCACAGGGGGTGATGGCTCGGCTCCCGCCGCCGCCCCTCCGGGACCGCGCTGCCGGCGCCTCAAAGACGGGGAAGGTCAGAGCGGCTCTGGCCGGCGGCTCCCGCCCAGCCTGGCCCGCGGCAGCCGGCAGCGCCCCGCGGCGGGGATGGGGCTGGGCCATGGGCCGCGAGGGGCGAGCGCGGGGTGTGGCGGTGCCGTGTGCCGGCCCGCGGGCGGTGCCGGTCCCAGTCCCGCGGCCATTCCCGGTCGCGCCCCCCGCACTCACCCGCGGCTCCCACTATGGCGGCGGCAGCGGCCCCGTGCGCGGCGCGAGCCCCCTCTGCCTCTCTCGCCCGCGCTCCCGCCCCGCCCCGCTCCGCCCGGCCCCGCGGCATGCCGGGACAGCGAGTCACATCGGCAGCGAGACACGAACTAGGAGGGGCGAGCAGAACTACAACTCCCGACAAGTCCCGCGCCGCACCCCGCGGTGGCTCATTTGAATGAGGGAAGGGGCCCGCGCGCCGCTGGCCCCGCGGCGGCGCCCCGGAGCATTGTGGGATCGTGGGGGAGCGGGGCGGGGTGTGGCGCTGCGCCTGGGGA